GACTGTCTAGGCCACTACAATCTCTTTCTTCTAAAGGAAACATGGTGGCGAATTTCACTCTAGAGTAGCCGAGGGATAGGACCCCACGGTAACATCAGTCGGAAAAGAGCAGCCAGCAAGCACGCGGTGGGGAGCAGCGGGCTGCATCTGAGCCCCCACGAGCCAGGGCCCTGCCCAGCACCGCCTTAGGGCTCTGGGCAGCGCCTGCCTGTTCCAGGCCTCCTCGCCATAGAAGAAACCTAATTCTGCACGTGAAAGCCTGCGTATGTGAAGAAACTGACGGTTAGTTCATGAAATACTCACATAACAATTCCTCAAAATAAGCTCCCCAAGACCATTTACTTTTTGAGACAGGGTTTTGCTCTGCAGGCTGGTTTTGCTCTGCAGTGGCACCATCACAGCGCGCTGCAACCTCCAACTCCTGGGCTCAGGTCATCCTCCTGCCTCAGCCTCCAGGTGGCTGGGGCCACAGGCGCGCGCCACCATGCCCGGCCCCTGAGACCATTCAAAACGCGTTCTCCCACACAGCAGAAGATGATCAATGTAAATATAGACAATAGAGATGTACCTCCACGTTGCAAGTCTGCGTGCAGACGCTATGAGTAGCACGTTACAAAGGTGGAAAAACGAGACAGGAAGGAGAGATGACGGCGCTATCTCTGGCTGTTAAAGCAGTTGCACGAGGCGGTTTCCAAACCCTGAGAGCAGAGTTTGGAAATCGGGACTGGAGCGCGGCGGGTCCACGAGTCCCCTGCACCCCGCCACCCTGGCTGCGGCGCCCTGACCTCCAGGAAAGTTCGTTAAAAATCATGATTCTTGAAAGAGTGACGGGGGCGCGGGCTGGTCGTCGGGGTGGTGGGGAGCTGCCCTCGTAGGGGCGGCGGGGCGGGCACCACCCGAGACAGGAGATCTGAAGCTGAGCGCCCGCAGTCGGCGCGGTCCCGTAACCGGTGCAACCGCAAAGATGCTGGAGGAAGACGACGTGGAGGTGGCCATCAAGACGGTGGTCGTGGGGTACGGAACGGTTGGAAAGTCGAGCATGATTCGGCGCCACTGCAAAGGCATGTTTACGAAAGACTACAAGA